AGTTATAGTCTAAAATTATAAAATTTTACTTGTGTCATCATCATTTGTGTCTAACGAGCGAGTGCAGCTTACCATTTTATTTATATTTTTCTTTATTGTAACCGATATACGAAAACCTTTTCTTTTCACATCCTTAATACTTTTGTATAGAATTTTCATTTTATCTACACTGTAGTGCAAGCGGGTAACAGGCCCGGGCATTTCTCACGCAATAAATCATCATCAAATATGACACTTTATGAGCGATATTTCGGTAGACTAATTAGCAATGAATGTAAAATAATTGGAAAATGTTCAAGACATTAACGTGAGATCGTTATTGTCAACATACTTAAAACATACAACATCAACAAAACCGATTAACACAAGAACTTAATTTTTTGCTCCTGTATGGTCATCTACTAAACTATGAAAACAATGAAGTTGAGCATTTAAGCTGTAGTTTGTCATTTTAGTGTTCTCAGAATTTTTTTACAATAGAATCAGATCGCAAGAATGAAGCTTTTTTGTTTTTCAATGTTCAGAAACGCATGTTTTTGGGACGGACTTTTAGATGTTTGAGAAAAATACGTGGAACTTAGTCGAAAAATTGTTTATTTGAGACATTTTTTTTGGTATTACAAAGCTACTAAGAGATACACTATGAAAGTCTCAATTTTGAGTCGGTGACTTTTATTTAAGATTGAGTTCAACCAGAAATACTACTAATACAGCACAGAGCTGGGCAACTTCAACTCCGGAGTTGAAAATGTTTTTGGTGAAGTTGGAATTGGAGTGGAGATTTTAGGAGGCTGGAGTTGGGTTTTTGAATTTTTATTCTCAGCTCCGTTTTGCATTTTTGAAAATATTCAGTGGTTGTAAAGCTGATCTTCTAAACGATTCAGTGGCTGTATTCACGAGTGAGTTCGGAAGTTCTTTGCGCTTTCCGACTGGGAAAAGCTCAAAAACGTCCAAAATTCTACTAAAAACCGAAAAATTTTCCTTACAAAAGTGAAGCAACCGAAGTTGAAGCGGAGTTGAGATTTTTGTTGACGGAGTTGGAGTTAGAGTTGAAAAATTTTGAGCGTAGTTGGAGCTGGAGTTAGATCGGAAATTTGAAAATGGAGTTGGAGTGGAGTTGGAGTTGAAAGTCAGCGAAGTTGCCCAGCCCTGTTACAGTAGTTTTTGCACTGTTTTTAAAAAACGTATATTCTTTCCCAATAGTATTAGCTGAAATATTCTGTATATATTTTAAATGTCATAGGTACAGTAGACTTGACTATATCAGAAACGATTTTGAAACTTTTTTAACTTGTCCCATAAAGAGAACGAAAATCAAGTTACATGTAAGTGTCAAAACGTTTTGTGAATGTTGTATGGTTTTAATATTTTGATAATAACTTGTTTGCGTGAACGTCTAGAACGTTTTCGAATGATTTCATGATTTTCTAGACAATTGAAAGCTAAATCTTTTAAAAGCCATTGATCTAAAATGATGAGATACAATGTAAATATAGATAAGATACTTAGACTACTATTTAATCAGGGACATTTCTGTGATTAGCTTTTGTTAAATGTTGCTGTGCGTGCATTTATTATTTGTTATATTCTAGTATTGGTGCCAAGTACGAGAAAAGACTCGAAATAGAAAATGTGTATAAAAATATATTTGAATTATTCATATCTAATAATATGATTCAATTAAAATCAATTATAACAACATGCTGTTTACCGGATAGTTGTCAAAATTTAACAATTTTAGAATCATTAGAAAGCTTAACATTGATCTATACATGGTGTTATCATAAATTATTAAATTTATTTCAGTACATACCAAATTTAAAATATTTACGTTTATTATTTGTCTTAAGAATTGAAAAGAATTACAACGACAAACAACAACGACAACATATTTATGATAAATTAAATAATAAACAATATCATCATCGATTATTATTATTAAAATATTTACAAGTAAATTATGATGTATTTTATAATTATGATTCTATTTATGGTCATTATTTCTTATCACATTTTCCATGTATAAAATTAATCAAAACTACCATAAAAGATAGATATTATAGATGTCCTAGAGATGGTTTCAGTCAAACAATATCAAAAACAAAAACAATAATTACTAATTATTATAATAATCAAAATCAAGATTTATGGATAGATAAAAAAATCATTAATATTGAAGAAAAACCATATTCTTCGGTTTCTTTAAGTTTTCTGAGGATGACACATAATAAAAAAAATGTATGTGAGTGAATGACAACTAATAAGTGCAAATCATAAAATAAACTGAGAGTAAGAATAAAAAAGTTTTGAGTTTTTTATTTTGTTCTACTCTCGTCTTTATTTATGAAGTAAGAATTTCCGAACACTTGGCCAACAAATTCGAGTGTGACCTTAAAGATACTCAATTTTCGAAGGTTATTTTGGGAAATCGAAATTAATCTAGATTCAAATATCAAACAAGATATCCTATTTCGGCATAGATCGATGAGGAAAATCGAATGCTCTATCCTACTTCACCTTTAAATCTTTACAGGTCCGATTACAATCAAAAACATGAACATTAAGATATGTTTTCAGCCTCATTTTGAGGTTCGATTGAGTGATTTGGTAGTAGACATAGATCTACCTGCGGCAGTTTAAGAAATCGAACTATGCGTGATATTTCAAGTTCTGGACGTGTCCAAGTGGAAATATGTGGGAGAAAATTTCCGACTATATTTTATTGTATAATGTAATTTCTTCTAACATAAAAATTGTGCTGAAACTTGAAACTCACGCTCACGTGTAATGTTATAACATTAAAAGTTCTATGTATTGTGAAACCTTCAACAAAATCGGAAGCAGCGCTTAGAATTTTTCGTTTGCTTTGACAGAAAAAAAGTCTAGAAGCCAAAGTCTTTTCTGCCTCTTTTTTCCCGAAACGATCTGCCTTTCGAACAGCTTCATTTTCCTTCGAACCAAAGTAGATAGAACAAAATGGAGGTAAATGTTGGTCTAAAAAACATAAAAAAGTATCTGTATACTATGCTCTGTGCAAGTCAGAGTCGGCGCTAGTCGTGTTTGACTGGGCTGATCCGGTGCACATCGGATCTGTTGGATTGTTTCGACAAGCCTGTCCTGAATAGTTGAAAAAAATTGGGTCCTAGGTAAAATTCCGCCTCCGCCTTCCGCTCCGCCCTTCCGCCTCCGCCGTTTGGTATTTTTCCGCCACAGGGATATTCCGCCGAGAAAGTGGTAAATTTCCGCCTTTCGCCTCCGCTCGTATACAAAAGTTTAGACACCTTTTTTAACATGCTCGATTATCATATGTATAAGAAAATCAGAAATCGATATCTTTTAAGAACAAAATAAGAAGAACTGAGAACAAAAAGTAAGTACAATATCTGAAAAAGTCCTATTTTGCTTTTTTTGATATTCTTTTATATATTGCTCAAAAGTTGAATTCTGATCGAGAAAATTCGGAATTACTGACATAATTCCGACTTATATGGGATGGTTTTTTAAAAAAGTAAAACTTCTCCAAAACAAAGAGGTTTAGAAAAAAAAGGCGAGCATACTTTTGTAGCTCGTCGAATGGCGGTTTGAATGGTGTATAACAATACACATTTACTTTCAAAACCAGGGAGGAGATAGCTTTGTCAGCTCGAAATCTCATTCTGAGTCTGATGTCCACGGACGGCCATGGAGTTGACTTGAAAATACTTCAAAGTGCCTCGAATCGATTCATATTTAGATGCTGAATTCAAATAAAATAAGCAGAAAAATATTTGAAGTAATGTTTTGATTGTAGAAATGGAAGTTATGATCCAAATGTAGTCTATCATCGCTTAATTGATAAAGCAAAAACAGTTCACGATATACCACGAGATACAAGTAACAATTCATTTTTCAATAATACGGATGTTAATATGAACAATGACAAGAATAATAAGTCGAATAAACGTCAGATTTATAATAGTTCAGAAGATGATAGTTCTCATTTACAACACACCTAATCTTCTAGAAAGAGACTGGCTGTAAAAGCAGTAATGACACGCAAGGGAGAATTGAGTGTTTGTTTGATTCTAAAAATTGATTACCGACCGGTTTCACTTTTATTAAAATAAAAGCTCTTCAGAGTATCTAGAAAACACAAACAAACACGTAAAAAAAATAAAAAAAAAAATATATATATAAAAAACGAAAAAACAGAAAACAGACAAAACGAACACAACAAAAAAAGAAAACAGACAAAACGACACAACAAAAGAAGACATTTCAGTCTTCAACGAGGTCGAGGTCCAGTTCGTCGAGATCGCTGACTCCGTTGTCTGGTGATCGGTCCAGAAACATCCCTTCTTCCGTGGAATCGGCCGAGAAAGACTCGACACTGACACGGTCTGGGGTCCTTGCATTAGAGGACTCGCCAAGGGGACCTTCCGATATTTCGCCTCGTGGCGACAAACACGGGCGTGGTTCGATAACGACTGACTCCTCTACAGCATGTCGAGGGGTCGCTAACCCAACTGACGATTGCAGGGCGGGCGGTTTTTTACGACTGCCACTTCCACTAGCAATACGCACCGCTGACGTCTCCGGCGGCGTAGAGTACTCGCTGTCGGACGTTCTGGTGCATGATCGGGTAGTTGCCCCCGATGTAAGTGCTTTAGTGGCACTGAACGTGACGACGGATGACACATTGAGGGTCGAAATGTCAAATTCTGCTTGTATGCCGAATTGACGAATGTTCGGCCACTAGCAATCGGGCCGGTCGATGAATTTCGACTCAGACCTGCAACACCTGGATGTGTCACCATACGAATTCAAGTACATTCACTAGGAGCTTTTGTTCTCTTCAGTACTGCGATTATGATGCGTATGAACAGAACAAGCAGTTACCTACTAAAAAATGTTGCCAGCTTTTTTTAGCGAGCCTTTCATATTTCTAAAATAATTCTCTTCAGATCAAGAAATTAGCCGTACAGTGGCATTTTATTTTAATGTTAACTCTTCATAAACAGACGAACACATCAATTAAGTTACATCCAAATTTTAAATGAGACTTTTTTTAACATGTAGTTGAAGACTTGTGCTTTTGTATGTCTCAAAAGTAAGGTATTCATTTATTTAGAGAGAGTTAGTAGTAAAATAAAAATGCAACCTGTTCAATAATATAAACGGTTTTGAACGATGTTTGAACCTTTTTCAAAACTGCGTTCAGGCGTCTGTTCAAATTAGGAGGCCTCGAATACGTTCGGGGTATCAGATATCTACAGCGTACCGAGACGTTTAATAATAGGAGCGCTTTCAGACGCTGTTGTAACCTTTTTCAAAACAGCGTTCAAACGTCTGTTGAAACCAAAACGCCTTAAAACGCGTTCAGTAATTCGAATGCGTTCAGAGTATCAAATATCTACAGCGTGCAGAGGTGTTTAATAACAGAAACGCTCTCAAACGCCGTTGTGTAACTTGTTTCAGAACAGCGTTCAAACGTCTAATCAAATCGAAACGCCTTAAAACGCGTTCAGAGTAATAAATATCTTCGGCCTTAAACGCGTTCGACTCGAACGCAGGTTTTTACAAAACGCGTTTAAACGTAGATTTAAACGCCCAAAGCAGCGTTCAGACGCGTTTTTTCTCAAAATTTTCCGAAAACCAGCGTTCAAACGCGTTTTTTCGAACGGAAACGATTACATAGGTTAGTTAACACCCAAAAGCTTCTTTTCCATATCTTTAACGACTGGCCCCACCTCTCTGCATATTGTGACCAGCTCACTTTGTAGAGAATTTTATATATATTGATACAGTAGTGTATCTGTACATTTAAACATTCTCATTGTAAGTTATATTTCTCTTGAAAATGGCTCTATGAAGAGGCCGAAACGTAGAGTGTATTATTTAATAAATAATAAATAGTTAATTTTATTCGTCAGTTATGGCTGCTTGTCTAAAATATTACTTAAATTGATGAAACTTTAAGATGTCTCAGTTCTGAAACAACAGTCGGTAGTCTCTATCTTGCTCTTCTCTACTTTAAATCTGCCGCTTTGAATGAAGATTTGTTGCTAGTATGGCTTCAAAATGTATTATCAAATGCTTTCAAATAAAGATAGTTTAGACTAAGATTTATTTACTGGAATTAATGGATAGATTCTTAAAACCTGTTGGAAAAATTGTCAATACACAGACGTCAAATTTAATATAATTTTAAATTTTTTCGACAATAAATGTTCAGATTTAGAAAAACCTTGGTCGAACTATGCTATATCAGAGGAAAAGATGTTAAGTATTGCTACACGTGGGCTAAACACTCATCATCACAATATGAATGCAATTTTTTGCATTTAATTTATCTTTTATTAAGCAGTTATCAAACAGATTTTTTTTGTACACATTTTCTTTATGAATGGGCAAAAATTTTAATACGCATAATAAAGTAACAGTAGTTATCTTCATTTTATTGAAATATATATAATTAAATTAGAAACGAAAAATTTTCAACGTTTCGAACATTAAAAGTTCATTTTCAAGAATAAAAACATAAACGTGCCACTAGCTGGTTAGATTTACTAGTTATGATGCATGCAGAGAAAAATTTTGAAAACATTTGAATTTCTCATTCTTTAATTTGCTTTCTCGTCCTTAGAAGATACAGAACGAAAACATATAAGACAGTGAACTAAACGTTAAAATATAACAAAACATAGAAATGAAGACATGAAATTAAATCAATATTATATATTTAATTATATATATTTCAATAAAATGAAGATTACTGCTGTTACTTTATTATGCAGATTTTTTTTTGATTAAAACTGATAAAAATAAGAAACTCTTTATTTTTATCTCTTACAAAAATAATTTGTTAATTATAATTTGAACTTTTGCTTAATTTTCAGAGATCATATTAACAAACGATGTCGATTATCCCTTGAGGAAGAAAATAAATTATTACCTCGTTTTATTCAAAATTATTCCAACAAATCAAAAAGAGTTTTGATTATTATAAGGTAGTAAATAAAGGTGAAAAAATTGAGATATCACCAGATACTCCGAAAGATTAGAAAAGATTGGAGAAATCTTTTTTTTCAAGGAATTATTTTAAGCAATACGAATTTAAAACATTAGTCACGATGCTTTGGAAAAGTAAAAAAAATAGTGTGCAGTCACTATCTAACAAATATTGTAGAGTTAACAATATGTTTAATAATTGGACTGAATTTGGACTTTTTGACCTAAGTTATTCCATTTCTCTTTACCAAATAACTTTAGATCTAGAAAGAAAATGTGATTTTTTGATAATGAAAGTTTTTCTTAGTTTTTCTCTTATTTATGTTTACAGAATCTGGAAACGCAGTCGTCAGGTTATAATCAGGTTTTTATAAAAATGCTCTTAATAGTTTCATATTTTAAGAAGAGTTTAAACCTTTGCCTGCATTTTTATTAAGTAAATAAAACGAGATAGATTCTAGCCTAGGCATTAATCCTTTCGGGACGGCTGGTACACCGTATATACCACAGTCTTTCGTTCTGTTGTGACGTGTCGAAGCATATGTTTTCTTGCCTTTTTCTATAGAACATACATACTTTTCAGTTTTTACTCTTTCCTCTTCTTATGGTATCTTCTGGTAAATTCGAAGGTGTATTGTATGCAGCTCAACTGTCAACCGACCAAAAAAACAATCTCGTACCCGATACGAATGTTCAGACTGCAATGTAGGCTTGTGCATCCCGAATTGTTTTCGCGACTATCACACTCTAACGTCATATTAATAAACTGGACTGAAAACTAGAATCAATCGATTCTTAAAAACTAATTTTTGTACCTTTTTTCAAAAAAAACTTCCCCGTTCTGAAAGGGTTAAATATTGTCACGACTCAATGAGATTTTCTGAAGCTGGTATTCACGATATCGAAGGACTTGACTATACTATTCAAGAAGGTCTTTTAGATCTCATTCCTATGTAATAGGCTGAAATTTGATCGGAACAGGCTGAAAACCATATGATCGAAATCATTACTGTTTGTTTCTCTATTTAGTAAAACAAGATGTGGTTATTTTATTATACTGCTAGTTGGTTTTTTGATAAGCTGGGCTATACTATCAGCAGTGGCATCATTATTACCATTGGTTCTCTTTCCAATGACCAGTATAGTTTTGTAGATTTATTGAAAAGAAAGTAAGACAGTTGTCATTTGGAGGCAAAGATCGTGCAACATACTTGAAATAGTCGATTAAGATTGACTTTTCGATATCCTTTTTTAGAATTTTTTGTAACTACACCATGTTGAACAAATAAAATATAGAAATGATTTTGTCATATTTATTGTATGTATCGGCAGAATTGAATGGCATAATAAGAAATAACATTGCTATTTTTTACATTTTGACTTTTTTCTATGCTACAATAACTCACCTGAAAATACATTAGGCGTTTATTCTGTCAATTATGTTATTTGTATTGTTGCTTACACGCACACTTGCCAACACTTTGTGTTTCTGTCTGTAAAGAATTCACTTTTAAGTGGCAGAGTTGACGATGGGAACTTTATGGAGCATATTGGTGAACAAAATGCATCATTTTATATTGTGGCATAGAGACATATTAGCTCAACAAGTTCCGATAACTACCAATTGTACGCAGCAATTAGAAAACGAAGCCAGTAGCGACCAGTCAGCCAGTGAAATGAAAAACTTTGAAGAGTTTACCGTGGTATGGCTTGATTCCGATGTACAAAATAATAGAAATGAATATAACAAACGAAAAACAAAAATTCGAAACATTGTTAATCATTTAGAAACTTTCGATAATCAAGATAAATGTATTGATTATGTGTTCTCAATCCAGGAAAGCATATTTTTTATCGTTTCAGGATCATTCGGCGTAACAACTGTGCCTATTCTTCATGACAAAAATCAGATTATTTTTATTTATATATTTTGTGCCGATAAAGCAAAGCATCAAATGTGGGCAGATGCATATAAAAAAGTTCAAGGAGTTTTCGATAACGTTGACGAATTAATAATTAAATTTCAGAAAGATGCTCATTTTCTGCTCAATCAAATAGCATCTATAAGCATATTTGATCCAAAAGAACGATCGTTACAATACTTAACCAAAGAGCAAGCAACATTTATATGGTTTCAATTACTTATCGAAATACTACTTCGATTACCTAAATCAGACATAGCAAAAACGGATATGATCGAAGAATGTCGTAGAAATTACGCAGGTAACGAGTCTCAATTACAAAAAATAACTGACTTTTATCAGAATTATAAACCGTTCATGGCCGTTGAATGGTATACAAAAGATTCGTTTCTTTATCGTTTATTAAATAAAGCGTTTCGAACGCAAGATATTGAAACTATATTTAAATATAGATATTTTATAACTGATCTTTATTCACAGCTGAAAGCATTACACCTGCAGTTACTGAAATCTGATGAAAAGACAATGACCGTGTACCGAGGTCAGGGTATGCATCTTGAAGAATTTGAAAAACTAAAAAATAGTGTTGGAAAATTCATTTCGATTAATACATTCTTTTCAACGACCACAGACTGCGAAGTAGCCGTTGACTTTGCTGGTGATAGGTCCTTTTGTTCGAATATGGAGTTGGTTGTGTTTGAAATTGAAATTGACTTGAAAAATGATGCAAAACCGTTTGGTAAAGTTGAACAATTAAGTTGTAATAAGGACGAAAACGAAGTCCTATTCTCGATGGGATCCATATTCGAAGTTGTTAATGTTGAAATGATGACTGATACACTTTGGTTTGTGAATCTTAGATTAAGTAATACACTAGATGAACAACTGTTAGAACTAATGCACTATTTCAAAAGTTTCATCGGTTCTCAACCCACTCTTTTAACGTTGGGATTGTTTCTGTCTAAAATGGATGAATTCGACAAGGCAGAAAAATTCTATCGACTATTGATTGATGAACTGCCATCCGATCATAAAGATTTGGGAATGGTATACAATAATATTGGAGAACTTTTTCGTCTCCGAGGTGATGATGTAAATGCTATGGAAAACTATGAGATGGCTCTTGCATTATATTCAAAACACTTTCGCGCTAATGATCCATTCGTTGCCGTAACACAAAGTAATATAGCCGCAATACTCGATAATAGGGGTGATTATAAAACTGCATTGACGATGTACAAACTTGCATTAGAGAACATGATAGACCGTTTGTATGCCAGACATCCCTCAGTTGCGATTATGTATAATAATATAGCAACTGTTCATGGTCATGATAATGACTACCAGGCTGCTTTAGTCAACTACGAAAAAGCACAACAAATCGAAAACGAGAGCCTACCAGATAATCATCCGTCGCGCGTGCTGACTTATATGAACATTGCAACCATTCATCGTAATATAGGTAACACAAAAATTGCTTTGGAAAATTACAAAAAAGCACTGGATATTCAAACCACTTATTTGCAGCCTAATCATCACATATTATCTGAACTATATAATAACTATGGAAGTATCATTCTGGAAAGCTTGAAAGACTCCCAAAAAGCCTTACAGTACTTTAGATTGGCTCTTGAGAATGAACTGCGCTCTGATACTGTAAGAGAATGGCAAGGAAAAACACATCAGAATTTGGGTACGGCATACATCACACAAAAAAAGTACACATTAGCTTTAGAGAACTTTGACAAAGCTTTCGAAGTTTTTTCGAAAGTGTTACCACCAACACATCCATCAATTATAACAAACTACATAGCAATCGGATTACTTTATCATGTTATGCACGATACATCAAATCGTGTACGCTGCTTAGAAAAAGCTGAGGAACTCATGAAAACTTGCTCAACTATTCATACGTCTTCAGGCGGATTACTATACCTTGACTTAGGATCACTCTATGTTCAGATGGATGATTATGAAAAGGCTATTGATTGCTTCAGCGAAGCCATGACACTTCTTGAAAAAGATTCAGCAGCGAATGTTGTTAACATAGCCAGAGTATACGAGCAGTATGCACTTTGCTCTTCCAAGAGGAATGGTGACTACACAAGAGCAATAGAATATTATCAGAAGGCTATCGATATTATGATTACAGTACACAATCTGAGCACAGAATTACTAGTAGGAATATATCGGAAGGTGGCTAGTATGTATGAGCTTCAAAATGACTACTGGTCTGCAATTGAATGTTATCAAAACGTTTTTGAAATTGAACTGAAATGTACACCGATAGACAGGCTAGTATTGGCGTCTTGCTATAATAATTTTGGAGTCTGCTATAATGAGCTATGTGACTATGAAGAGTCAATACAAAACTACGAAGCGGCTGTGAAAATATTTATGGAATTCGTGCCACAAAGCAGTAATAATTTGGCGACTGCATACATTAATATTGGTCAAGCTTATTTCAACATGAAAGATTTGGTGTCGGCACTAGTGAATTATAAAAAGTCACTCCAATATGCGTTGACATCATCGGTGAAAGACAAAGCATTAATTCTTCACATTTATCAGGTTTTGGGTAAGGGATATTTCAGACAAGCGGATTATTTATCATCACTTATCTGGTGTAGAAACGCGCTTGTAGCCGCCCAAGAATTGCATGCCCCTGGTAGCTATACTATTGTGCTCTGCTCAAAAAATCTATGTTTGGCAGAGGAAAAATTAGCGGAAATCGCACAATCATTATAATGATAGCATACATTTAGTCTAAACAAACGGGAGCTATGCAACACCTACGTGAACGGAGAATTTTGAGAAATATGAACAGAAAACATTTAGCATTTTCGGACTTGCAGGAAAGTGCTTGTATCCCAAGATTGCATAGACTTACACACTGTCCCACTTTAATCAGAGAAGTTTGTAATACTCCTGCGCTATAATAGAAGGTCATGGTATTCTAAAATGTTTTAACGACTCGCTGCTTTTTAGGTGACTTTTTATTAGGGAAGGGAGTTTGCAAAGCAATGCATATAGAAAAAACTTTAACGGCATAAGTATGAAGAATACTATTAATATTCGACAAACATATGTTTTCCGAGGCTGCTAGAAAACTTGCTTGCATATACTTTTACCTTCTCATTTTCTTCTTTCTAGCCTTTCACTTTTTTTATTGTATGTATGTTGCGTGCGTGTATATCTGTGTTTTATCTGACCGTGCTAGAGAATGAATGTGTATGTGTCTATCTTCCTCCAACGTGCTCACTGCAGTCGATTTACGAATGACTTTAGAGGGGACCGAAAGTTACCAAAATATTCCAGTGAAAAAGCCTTATGCACAGCCGGGAGATATCTTACTTTGCTCAGAATTCTTCGCTCTATCATCCTATATGATTTGGAAAATTTTCTGACCAAAAACCGAAGACTTGGTTTTCTAGCCTTCAGGTTTTCCAGACACGCTGCTGTCAAGTTTCCTCATAAAATGGCGGTATGCATCGCATCCGATAGAAAAATCTTCGGGCTATTGAAAATAGTATTCAGATTGGTTCCAGCTTTTGATGAAAATGAAAACAAAGGAGTTCTTATGATTATAACATACAACATAGCTTACGCTATATATGCAGCCTGCAGAACTTACGCTAATGCAACCAAAAATAGTGAAGAAATAAAGAAATACTAAAAAGAGCAAGTTACATTTGAAATTTAAACTTATGGATTAAACATAGCAGCTGATGGCACTCACTACTTAAATCCATAAGTTAAGTTCATTTTGCGATTCACGACATCAATTCAATCAGATAATTATTACCAACTCTTATGCAGTAGTCGATGTATGATCTGTTTTTCTACGAATATCCTGTATTGGATCTTTTTTGCAGTGTATAAAAAGTCGATTTTGCGATAGAAACTCTTTTCACAATCTGTATGGGTCCCAAAAAACGAATTTTGCCATTAACGGACCACTTTTTTAGTACTTTAAGGTAGAGTGATTTTAAAACTCAGCATTTTTGAATGTTTCATGATAACATAAATATTAGACGCTGCACTGCTCAAGATATGAGTGAGATAACTTAGGCACAAGGCTATTCAATCAAACAATTTTTGTCAGATTTTCCGTTCATTGTTGAGCATTCTGCTTAACGTTTGCCAGAGACTATCTCGACCCAATGTGACGATTCTTTGTCACAACCTCTCTCTAGTACGTACATCTTTCGGTAGGGCTACTCTCTTTTGTTTCGTTCTGTCCGTTGTCTGTTTTTGTTCTTTTCTTGCTGTGTTCTTTTGCGGTTCTTATCTTTTATGATGCAGCAGTAAATGTATTTATTAGGTGTTTTCTTTTGTTAGAGTTAGCTTTTTGTAGTTTGTGATAAAGAGTAGTTGAATAAAAGAGTTATACAGAAAAGCTACGTATTTTAACGCACGCATACAATAAACTCAAGGACTTATAATTGGAGGAAATATAAGTCATCACATCCAGGAGAAGCCATATTCCTTCTTCGCGTAATCACGGCGTGATTACGCGAAGAAGGGAATATGGCTTCTCCTACGAATGTAATATTCGTTTTCTACACGTCAAAAATAACGCCTGTCCCTCTGCACAGAAGATATGCGCTGTCAGAGCTCTTTCCTCCTTATCTGTTACGTCACAACTCAAAAAACAAGTTTCGTTTCTGTTGAGTCTTGACAGCAGAAAAGAAAAACACAAAGCAGTGATGTCATCATGAAAAGACTTAAATGATGTTGGTAAAAACATTGCGTCTATTCAGTCCGGCATAGAAGGTATGCTGTGTCAGAGTTGTTTTCTCCTGATTTGTTATGTCACAACGCAAATAACGAGTTTCATTTTTGTTGAATAATAATAGCAGAAAAGAAAAAGAGAAAGCAGTGATGTCAAAACCCTTAAATGTTGTTGGCAAAAACATCGCGTCTATTCAGTCCTCTGATTACAACTGACAGCAGAATGATACAAACGTCAATTTCCTATCACGAAGAGAGATGCAGCATGACTTATCAGACCGATTGCTCAGTACTTGCGGCAACGATGAATGTTTGAAGCAAGTACAGAATGGTTAGTTGATCATGAGTATCTACGTTGCCATTCTCCCTCCTTCATACTTCAGAGGCTCTCTTCATATAAGAGAGACCAAGGATTCAAACTCTTGACAATGCACATTTATCTTATTGTTCGGCTCCGGCTTTGAACTCAACGCTTCCCGTCCAGCTCCCGCTTCATTATAAAGGGAGACGGCTCCGGAGCCGAAGCTGCCCAGCTCTGCTTCTATCACAATCCCTAGTATTAAGAACATGGTTTTCTGTTACATTACATTTTTTAGTATCACTTATCATCGGGGCCATCTATAATCGATAAATTAGTGGTCCGAAGACTTTCTTCTGGATGTCTTTCGTTCAGCAGCAGCCATTCCATTGGTGTGCATGTATGACCTGTTTCGGCACGAATAATTAATGTCTTGTGAAAATAATGATATTGAACTTGTACAAGTTACTTCTGTCATGACAACATCACTCATTTCGAGTTTTATGCTCTCGTCTTTTTAGTATATTGGTAATCTTTATAAAGCTGGTTTATCATGTTCAGTAAGAGTGAAATGTAACATTTTCGGAAAATTTTTGTGTAGTCCTATTGAATATTCGTAAGTTTATATAGATTAGTGAGCTTCCTTTTTTAGACATCCTAAACAACTCTAAATTGTAGCTGTTTATATATCATTAATTATTAGTGTTGTTCTTTTTAACAAAGTTTATTAAATTTATTAAGGACGAATCAAGAAAAACGTTTTAAGGGAGGAATTAAGAATAAAAATTGATGAGGGCCGAACTGAGAAATGGATTACGAACGAATCGAGGTTAAACCAATGATTTTGTAAAGCAGACACAAATATACTTTTGATCTGATCAGGTATGAGTGTTAAACGAGCTGCTGATGGGCGACCCAAACGATCGGATTTACATGGCATCATTCGCATTCTAGCGAAATAATTGCATAATATAATAACTAATTAAACACATATAGTTTAAAGCTGTGTTGAGTATATTTTCTTTTTATGTAAACTTGCGTCCGTTCGTCATGAAAAAATGAAGTTGAGTTAGACTGAAATTTTTGTAACTTCAACCCTAGTCCAACATCTTGGAACCAAGATCTTGCCCAAGATCTTACGTTAGGATTTGGCACTAGATCTTGAAAAAATGCGTACAAGATCTCAAGACATTTTTGTACCCAAGATCTTACGCAAGATCTTGGGTACAGATATTCCTTGATATCTTGTACCCAGGATCTTGAACATTTGAAAAACCGTCATATTTCAAAAATAACATTTTTCTTTGCATTTTTTCAACAAGTGTTGGGAACAAAAAATATTCACCGCTCAGTGGTGAACATTTCATCCGCTAGGATGAACGATCCCTAATGCCTCCCTCATGGAGTTTTGACTCTGCTGTCGACGAAAACATAGTAACATTAGACACAAAATAGGGTGTTCATATATAGGATGACATCGTCAGAATAAGACGGTGAATGATAACCAATGGTTACTCAAAGATCTTTGGTACAAGATGTCAAAATATTTCTGTATCAAAGATCTTGAGCCATGATCTTGGGTAAAAGTCATTTTACAGTCAAGATCTTGGATACAAGATAAGTTTTAGGATTTTGTACGCAAGATCATGGACAAGATCTTAGGAACAAAAATATCTTGACATCTTGTACGAAAGATCTTGCCAAGATCTTTTCGAAAAAATCTAAGATGTCAAGATCTTGGTTCCAAGATGTTCCACTAGGGCAGTGCTAGTTTTGCTCGACAAAAATAATAACCGAAGGAACGAGCCTCTTTCATCTATAACGATGGAATTTTGGCTAGACTAATCTATACACTAATTTGAAATTATTTTCTACTTTATAGAAAATCGATCTTTATTTTCCAACTTTTATAAAATCTTCAGCGATTTTCTGACTGTTTAGAAAATGTTGATTTTCTACTTTATAGAAAATCCGTTCGATTTTCTATAAATTGACTTTTCTCATTTGCCAAAAAATCGATAAGGAATTTCTAAAAAGTTGAAAAATCGACAGCGATTTTCTATAAATAATTCCCGACATTGTAGAAAATCGACTCGATTTTCCAGCTTCTGGAAAATCAACTTAAAATTGACTTAGAAATGCAGAATAATAGAGAGAAAGAAACAGTTACCGTGAAGTTAGCTAACTGATCATTACCGTTATTTTAACGGTAACTGGAAAGGCAGTTATCGTTAAAATAACGTTGTCGATAACGGCCGAAGAAGAACGGAACTTTTACAGTCCTATTCAGGATGGAAAAGATCGTGGGAAACATGCGTACTTTTGCCCTGTTGGGTGGGAAAGACATGCTTTTCATGTGTGTGATAATTCTGATGAGAAGTTTAAAAGATGGTCTATTTATTATCACGGTACAAAATTTGCATATGGCCTTTCAATCTTGTTAAGTGGCACCAGCAAGAAGTTCCCTTGACTTTAGTCTAGGGTATTACAAAATAGTTGTCTGTGTGTCGGAAAAATAGCTGTTAAATATTCCATGGATATGCCAATCACAACCATAAGCGAAAAAAACAGGAAACTCTTTTTTAAACGAGAGAGAATATATTCAAAGAAACTGAAATAATATTTACTGATACAGAAAGATAAAAACATTTCATATCAAAGTGGAAAATCCCACTTTGACCCTAACAGTGAAGTGGACAGTTCCACTCTGAAAAAA